TATAAGTCAGAGTCCCCAGCATGCGCGATGATCTCCAAGTTCTTTGGTCGGCAACATGCCACGGCCGCGCGCACCAAGTCACACATGCAGATGTGATGTTATAATGTGTGTGCCTCGCGCGGCAATCGAATTTTACACCGACGACGACGACGATGACCGCGCAATTCGTCGCCTAATGGGCTGCCTGCCTACCGCGCGTACACTGACTGTATCGATCGAGCCCTGCGGCTCTTGCATCAGCGGCGGCGGGCACACGGGAGCCAACATGCAGCCTGCTCAGATACGCCGACGCCGTGGCGCAGTGCAGGGCAATGAACTCTTGACCGCTTGCGTACCACCTACGATAGGCATATGATCAACGCAACGATGGCGCGCGCATACGCGCTGCATAGTCAAGAGCCGCTCAAGAGAGATTGCCGGTGGTGCGAATGGTGATATCTCCGCGCGTGGACCTTACAAGTCTGATGAGTGTTCAACTCCCATCAGCAGTCGCCATGCAGTGGTCATTCCTCTGCTGCTACACACGGCTTGATATTCTGCGCAATCACATCTGCATGTTGCCTCTCTTATTGGCTATGGCTATAGCTGCCGGGCCATTTTTCAAGAGTCTAGGCAAGACTTTTTGCTCTGCGGTGAGACGGTGACGTCCTGCACAGAAACGCTGCTCCCTCGTCGTTCGGCTTGATGTCATGTGTGTGCGGAGCCCATACGGGTACGCCAGCGACGGCCAGCCCGCGCAAAGCGGGTTCGGCGCGATTCAAGGCTGCCCCACGCAAAAGTCGAGCCAGCTTTCAGCTGACGCGATCTCCACGTTCGTCTCACCAAAGCAAGCGCGCCATGCCTCCCCGGGCGCCCAAATGAATACAATTACACCCATTGTGTGGCTGGAACCTTACTGGACTGTAGAGTACAAATGTAGAAAGCAGGTGTATGAAGTGTCCAGCTCAGGACAAGCTCGAGTGCGACGTCGTCTTGCGCTCAGAGGCGTTGTGATCAGCAGTTGTGCGAATTGATGCGCCGCCTTACTCTTACGCGACGGCGTATCACGAGATGGAGGCAGTTGTTGAAGCTTCTGGCGCAGTGGCAGCAGCCCGAGTCGCCGTGACCGAAGATTCGCCAATGTCAAGCGTGTGATTATCACCTCCAGCAGCTGGACCCTTGACGACAGCAACAAGCACAGAGACGTCGTCTGTAACGAGCGGAAGAAAGATTCAGCGTCAACATGGAAGAGAATGGCGTCCAGAGCCCCGCGACGATGCCGGATGCGGCTAGAAACGAAGACTCACCGAGCTTTCCGCCGACGTAATGAAGACCTTCATCTGTCGCCGCGCATTGGAAGGGTGAAGTGACTGCTCGAGGGTCTGACGAGGCAGCAGTAGGAGAAAGTAGTCAGGCGAGATACATTAGAGATACTTTGGCGCGACACGCGCGTGACTCACCTTCAGCAATCTGCTTTGCTCTCAAGCAAAGCGCCTCGCTAACAGCTTGCGGCGAAAAGTCCGCTGGCAGAGGGTTCACTGCCGCACTCGTGTTCTGCTCGCCTTCAACGCCGCTGCCTGATCCTTCGCCCACTTGAGAGACAGGAATGAAACGCAGGACTTCTTCCAAGACATCCTCGTCGAAAAGGTTATCAAAGCAGCCATCGCTACCCACGATGAGCAAGTCGCCCGGTTGCACACGAAGCTATAGAAAATGAAGCGCAAGTCGGCCAATCGTGAGTCGTCTCGACTTTACATTGAGGGAATTCGACGCGACACTCACGCTGTATCTGCCAGCATCGCGACGTGGCTCGTCCCACTCGAGACTACCGTCAGCCGCTCTACTACCCTTCTCTCCGCGCGCAGACTGCTTGCCTTCGCCTTTGGCAGACAGCTCTTCCGGATAATCGTAATCGTCAATCTCCAACTCCGGCTCGCTCAGGGAGGATCCAGATCCACTGCTCATCATGCCGAGCTGCAATGGGTAGTTGAAAGAGTGTTGCTGCTCTTCCGATCGGAACACCATGGTGCGTTGTGAAGGTCTGATGACCAGCGCCACGCAGTCGCCCACATTTGCAATGCGCAGCTCATCCTCTCGCAAGATAGCAATGAGCGCAGTGGAGCTTCCCTTGATGCCTTCCCTTCGCGATGCTCGAATGCAGCGACGCCAAGCTCGATGCATGATCTCGACAGGGTCGATCGCTGACCAAGAAGCTAGCGCCTCCCCGTTGTTCGCGGTCAATTCAGCCGCCGACAGGTGATCGTATCGGGACAGTTCGACAGCACAAAAGTGCATCAAAAAGCGCGAGAACAGCGCGGGGTCCGCACCTGCTCTCGTACCCCACCCACCAACGCCGTCTGCAATTCCGAGAGAGTCCTAAAAAAGATAAAGCAAAAGACGGAAATGTGAGTACATTGACGGTGGCGCACCAACTCTTTTAGGGTCTTATATTCGAACTCACTGGTCGTAGAAAGTACGCATCCTCACCAACCTGCACACTGCGTAGGCGGTCGCGAATCACACGCCCGTCAGCGTCCCTGATGCACCTTCGATTCCCAGTGCCGTTCTCCGCCCGACTCCAAAACGCTTCGTCTCCCTGAGCGGTGCTTCCGCCGCTGAGAGCCGCGCGTCTGGCCTCAATGGCATCCACAGGCCCGAGACCAGGTTCGGAGGGCACGCTAGAGCCAGTGAGGAAGTCCCCCATTTGAGCAAGCTGGCTACGAGGTGCTTGCTCTCTGCCTTTGCCTTTGCGACTGGCAGACGACGAGGTGATGGCGCTAAGCGGGTGACGCTTTGGAATTCCGTACGCTCCGTGCTCCAAAGTATAGTCGTGCCGCTGAGACCGAGGCGCTTGGAAAGCCCGTTCCCATTCAGATTGAAGCTCGTGGTGACCTGCTGAAGCACTGCTCGAGCTCGCAGGCGCGCTCGGCGGACTGCTAGAGAGAGCGCTTGGCGCATCTCCATCCGTACTGCTGCCAGTCGCGCGAGCAGGCTGCATCGACTTGCCCGAAGGCACATTGCCGTCGCGCGCCGGCGGTGATTGAGCTGGACCAGGAGAAGGAGGTGGCGTGAAGCTTGGCGAGCTGCCTTGAGGTGCTCCACCGGCAGCACTGTGGAATGACGAAGTGGCGGCGCCAGTCAGATTGGGCGGCAGCTGGGCGAAGAAGTCGAGTTGCCCAGAACCACCATCAGACAAATCGGCATCCAAGTCAGATGCAATCGAAGACGTGTTTTGACCTGCATTCACAGCTGCAGCGCTGCCCTTCAACAAGTCGACGAAATATCGATTGACTGCGGACGCTTCTGAAGTTTTGCCAGGCGAATTGTCATCTCTAGAACGCGAAAGCGGACTTCCCGCCACGCGCAAGACATCTGCACCGTCTGTCTGAGCTTTAGCTCTGAGGCGTTTTGGGTGTGCGTGTTTGGTTCCGTGAGCTTTGCCGTGCATGCTGCTTGGCGGTAAAGCGGGCGCACTGGTTGAGGCGATACCACCTGGTGCAGCTGCTTGGCTTGACACGCTGAAGTAGCGGCGCATGGGTTGCGGAGCTAAAAGAGTAGAGCGCCGACTAGCACTGACAGCATGCGCATGGTTGACCAGAGCAGCGTAGGGGATCAATGCTTGCGATTGCAGTGATAGGTTGCTTCTGGCCAGACCTTGAGAGTTAGTTGTAGAGGCTGAGAGCAAGCTGGAGCTCTGCGAAGCGCTACTGGTTGGTGTGACATCCGCTTCAATGACAGCTCGTGGCTGGGGACCAAAGAACGGCGCGCTCACTGCCCCAGGCACCTCGCTGCCCGTGGCGATATGCGAATTGGTGGAGGTCGCGGATGGAAGGGACAGGGAAGAAGGGGTGGGAGCTCCAGCAGCAACGACGGGAGCACTTGAAGCTGTGTGAGATGATTGAGGCGTAGGCTGAAGTCCACTCATGGCGAAGCCGGCATGGCGAGAGGAGGCATGATGAGCGCCAAAGCTCGCTGCTCTCAACGTCCTACCGCTCGAGCTGGCCGTGGCACGAGACCACAGATGTTGTGGGGGAAGCTTGGACATTGTCACTGCGCCTAGCCTAGCTGGCAAACGCAGATGGTCGGCAAGTGATGATGTCCAAGATTTCTACTGTGGATGTAGCAGCGTCGATGCCCTACATCCACCCTCGGCTT